TTTCATCAAGCGATCTGTCGCCGTGACAGTGCCGCAGACAGTGCCCTGCAGATGTTGCTCCCTTTGCAACTTTATCAGTTTATTCAAAACTAAAACACCTTCAGGTGCAAGATCGCTTTCTTCCTGCTGGCTAGATTTTGAGGTGTCATCTACCTCTTCCATTTCATAATGATAATCTTCTTCGTCCTCACTGTCTAAATCATTCAGCTGGGATGGCGATTTTTCGATTCCTTCGGAAATCATTGGAAAATTCGATAACTCCTGCGGTACTGGTAAATGGAATGCGTCACAGAGTCCTGACAAAAGTCTTTGGATTTGAGGTAATATCAGATTGTTGTTACCGGAAGTTTGACTCAAATCCGACAGCAGTTCTAGCACCATCGGATTTTCTGAGTCTGAAAACCAAACCGGCGGCGTCTGCGGGTAATTCTCCAAGATGCTGGCAGAAGCAGATATTTGCTGGCCATCGCTGCACAAAAACATACAACTGATTTCGTCAAGCGAAGAAGTGGTAACGCGGAATCGTTCGTGATCTTTCGCAAACAGACTCTGGAGAAATTTAAGGTCAGCCTTAAACTTTTTCAAACAGGCACACATTGTTGATATCTTTCAATGAGGTAGTGAAAGGCGGTGACGGCAGCGAAGAGGGTTGCAAATCAAATCCTACATCAATGAATTGTCTTCGTTCCAATCTTTCACAAACAAGTTATCTGCCATCAACACGGCTGCTTGTGTCAAAAGTCGTTCTTCCAAATACAATTTAATATACTGAAAAAAACAACAAGCATATGAATAACAATTATGCACAAAAGAAAATAAAAATAGTTTAGAGTACCATAAATTTTCACGCTCCTCTAACTTGCAAACAGAATTACAAATATCTTGGTTCAAGTTGTACATCATTTTGAAAAAATTTACATCAAATTTAATGAATTAACAGAGATACAGTCTTTTCATTGAATATGACTTTAGTTATAAAACTGTGGTCGTTCTGGCTCATGACGATAGATCCTGTACGATACGAAATGCCAAGTCGCTTGCACATAACACTGCTGTGCTGATTAAACCTAGACTACCGTGGTGAAAAATCACTATGCTGCATTACATAAATTAACATGTTACATAAAAGATGTTTCTATTTTTACTATGAATTTCCGGCAAAGATATCCTTAACAGATACAGAAATTTAGGAAAGGAGGTTGAACTGTTAGGCAACTTGACTGAGCTAAAACTGCACACTTTATCCGGCTATCATCTTACATCGAAACCCAGATATGGTGGACATCAACCATAAGACCATCACAGAACATGTATGAACAACGCAGAGCGAGACCTTATCTTAGAAACGAATTATTTTATGATGCAGCATCCGATGCATGGCAGAAGTGTTGTAAAGCAGAAACAGCTGCGTATTATAAATCAGATACGCATTGTATATACAAATGATTCAAAGCAAGAGTGATCGCAACCAGATCTCGGCTAGAGCCCAGGATCTTCAGACTATTAATTCGATTGATAAACAATAGAAGAATTAGCCTACATAAATACAACTTTCTACGATCGTTACAATGAAATGGCAACAAGCAAACCGCAAAATCCTATAGCATAGAGACCAAAATTAAGTACATTCCTCACTGTAGCTACGTCGGTGGTCAACAACCACAACGAAACACGAACTTTCGGTAAATGAGTTTAGTAAGGTATACAGAAATGTGACATCCGTTCATGGTGTTTAAGCAAATTTGTCTAGGACAAAAACATTCTGACTGTAAAATGAATTTGGATTTGGAATGAATTTGGAAACTGTTCTTATCTGCTGTAGAAACGCAAAACTTTGCATTATTCAGCTGAAAAAGATATCAACTGACTCTAGATGATAAAACATGAAGGAGACAATCAGGCGAAAATTTACTGTAATAAGAGCATTTGGTGCAACATGTATAAACGCTAAGCATTCAAGATCTTTCACTTTCAAGTATCTAATTCTAACTTAGTTTCTACTATTTAATATTCTTTTCACTCAGTCAATTTCCATGACCGCTGGTCCTTTTGGATCACGGTGAATGACATGTCAGACAGTGCCTCCATGTTCCTGAACCCTTGCCAGAGTCTGAGCTTTAGCAGAAGACAACTGGTGTCTATTGCAGACTCCTTCAATACACTTGCCCCAGGTTACTCTTGGCCGTCCTCTGGGTCTTCTGTTGGACAGCTGATCAAGTAAAAGTTGCTTCGCTTTCCTTTCGCAACACGTGCCCAAACCATCCCAGCTGTGTCTTCTCAATCTAAGGAAGCAGCGGCTGTACACCATGACTCACCGTTTTCTGTACTTTGCTTTAGATCATGCCGAGACGCATGAGACGAGTGAATGGTTTGAGAAAGCGAATTTCATCCCGGGATAGAATTTTTTCAGCCATTACCAACGACTCATAACCATAAGTGAGCATCGGTATCAAAACCGAGCTGAACACGAAGAATTTAGCCTTCAGGTTAAGAATGCCTCTAGTTCGGATATCGGTGGCTATCCTAATTCCTCCCGTGTTCTATCAATATTAAACACAACCCCGAGGTAAGTGAACTTCTCCGACTGTTTCACTGCCTCTCCGTTTAAATGAAGAGCGTAAAGGGGAAGGAGAACGAGAAAGCATTAGGCTTTTCATTCCAGATGTTCAAACACTTGCTGGCTACGCCGCAGTCGGCTAGGAACATTTCTAGAGAATGCTGAAAATTAGATTCTGAAGATGCAAACAAAAAATAACCTGCGAACCGTTCCGTTTTCATTCAGGCTTGGAAGAGCCAAAGCAAGGATTTTCTTTTATTAATTTTTATTTATTGTTTATCTTCCCGCCTTGATCATTCTCAATTTTCATCTCTTATACCTTCCCTTCTTTTTCACATTTTTTAATTCTTGTCTTACGTTTTACTTTAAATGCTTCCATTATATACGTGTTGATTTTTGTTACTACAATTATCTCTTCTGTACATTATTGAAGTGTACTCGAAAGAACCCCTGTATGAATTCAGAAAGCTTTCATTAACAAATACATACAGTTCCAGACTTTTTGCACCTGTATATTCTTCAGGATAAAAGAACGCCTAAACGCAGCGTAGAGTCAACGAGCAATTGTCAGTCTTAACAACAGGAATAAAAAGCTGATTTGTAAAAACTGATTATCTAAAGCCCTGAAATCATCAGAAAAATTATGTAATAACTAGGTAATTAACATATATGAAATAACCACTCCATACTGCGCCAGTCATTAAAATTATAGAGGTATTCACGATTCATGGTTGAGAGCACCAAACAACTCAGATGTTAATACGCTTATTATCAACGCGTTTTGCTGCAAGCTCCGTAGCATCGACAGCATACAATTCATTATTAGGCAGGTAGTCACCTCATATAAACAAGATACCTCGACTTAAAGTGAATAACATATTGGTACCAGATTTTATCCATCATATTCATAACTTAAACCTTAAAGTTTAACATCGACGATTCATATTATCGTTTCAGATTTTCTAATCAAGTTCATGATAGCATTCCAGTTTTCACTTATCATCATAGAGGAGGAGTATTTAGCGCACATATTATGATCAATCGCCAAAATATGTAGGGACCCATTCATCAAAAGACCGAAGTTTCACCGGTCCTGGTCGAATACAGACACATTAGTCTAACCGAAACAGTGTCTCAGAAAGGGGTTGTTATTCAATGCCGTACTGATTAGAATGCCCTAAAAAGAATGTAGATAAATGTTCTTTAATCCGGATATTCAATTTTTGGCAGGTCTTTCCAACGCAGTGTCCACACTGGATAGCTAAGTTCAACGCCTCTTCTAGGTAGTTCTCAATTCTTGAATATAGGTATAGTCTTATTGGCATAGATCTCTGGGGTATATATGGCAAAATTATCATAGGTTTATTCTGACAGAATGTTGTCAAACTGCAGGTGGGGTGCAACAGTTAACTGCGAAGAGTCCTACTTCAATATCCATTTTTTAAGAATATGTTATATTCTAATTTAAGCCTCTAAAGCAGAAACAGTGTTGTAAGTTTCCTATGCGCATAAATGCATATTTCTACGATGTTTTTGAAAAGAATCGGTAGGAGACAAGACCGCCGGTAAAAGTACCTGTTGAATTGAGTAGGTCTCCTAGAGAGAAAAACTTCAAATTCAAGCAATGGTGCTCCCTTAACAAGTACGTGCAAGAATCATATATTTCGGTTCACCTCGACGTTGGTAGTAAATCGCATTCGACTACTATTAACTTTTTCAATGATGTAATTAGCGAAACCATTTAAATGTTGACACGTCAATGTTTCCATGGAATAAAACGCACATACCATCCACAATCTGGCGCAGAATAATGATGGCAATTCTGCTGGATATTCTTTCAGGACTTTTATTCCAAGATAATCCAGGTTAGGATCAGCCAAAACAATGCTCACTGGAAAGTCGATAGAAATGCCCTATTTTTGGCAATATTGTTCTGAAATTTGAAAATTATTGCTTGCCATCACAAGGAGAAAGATTGGCATACCTTCAGCGTTGCAGTATTTCAGAGGCTTCTGAGAGGATATCGTCAGAGTGTCTGTATCAATATCACTGAAATGAGCAATGACTTTTGGGATAACGTAAAGCATTCATGCCCTAGATATTTTTTCAGTCAGTCAGAGCAAATACTCATTACTGACATCACTTTGTAAGCCATCCTGCTAGCCACAATCTTTAATAACAAATCAAGCTATTCTGAAATCGAGCATGTCACCATTTCTCATGCTGGAATGATCAGTCGGAATGGATATCGCGCTTTATGAAGTTTCGCCAGTCCGTACGCGGGAAGGTTTTGCAGAAGTCAATATTAGACAGTATCTTCTGCATGCACTGAAGATAAGCTTTTACTCCTGCAAATTTCTTAACACCGCGGGCAGATGTCGGCGATTGGATTAATCAGGATCGATGATTACGTAGCCGAAAATAAACGTCACTGTCATCTAGGTATTTTATAATTTTTGCAACTTATTCCTATTTAGGTATCATCACTGTCTTCGTTCCTTTGTCTGTAAAAATAATTTAAAACAAATAATTTAAAGCAGTTATCTTTTAAATTTACGAGTAGTTGAATTAGGGCGCGACTTATAATATCACTGCGAACCAAGGACAAGGTTAGAGATGATTTCTTCCTTACAGCTGTTGAGTCTTTCACTCAGAGGAAGGAAGCGATTCTGAACAGCAACTACGCCGTGACGGAAGGAGCTGCATCAGACATGCTTAAGAGAGGATCCACAGCCAATATTTCCATTTCAATTTTATCGAATCATACGCTGCTCAAAATCAATTCCAAGATGTCTCGAATGTAAGTAGGTAATCTTAATGTTAGTTTAGACACAGCGTTAAACAACTAAATCAAATAAAGATGTAGACGCACACGACATTAGAAATGCGGTGATAATCGCAAAGAATTACCAGGGTATCGAGTAGCCGTTTAATGGTGTTAAATAGAAAGTTGTAGCGCAAATCATAACAGTGCAGTCAAGCCTGCTTTAACAATTTTGCTATATGGAACTCCAATTAAGACCGAAGTAGTTCACACATA